TGGTGTAACATTGTTGCAGATCACATTGTCATTATGTTAAAATAATAGCGCTAAAAATTACATAAATTTCGCTTCAGTACATTAAAGTAATTAATTAAAAAATCGCGGAATTACAAATCGTCAAACAAAAAACTTACCATAATTACGAATTATTAAACTTTAAACAATCTCAGCAATTGTCACATATTTAAAAAGAACTAAGAAATTAACTGAGAAATTTAAAAAATCGACTGTGCTTCCAAGCGTCACATATGAAACTGGGCTATGAAAAATATAAGGGTCAATTTGCTTAGTTGCTTACATTATTGATTATGGTGGTGTACGCATGACCTAGCATCTCTGTGTCAGTTTGCAAGTTCAAACTGTTGTTTTGTTTGTTAATGTGTATCATTTCGCTAATAATCCGTTCCTTATAATTTTTTTTAATATAAAATGTCTAATATAAAATGTTAAAATAATATCTTTTTTATCTAATGAATTAAATCAGTGCTCGGCATTAGCTGCACATTTCGGGCCGATTCCTGAGGCGACCCCCCACTACCGCTCGAGACTCGGCGGCCGAGGCGCCGCGCGCTCGCCTGACGCAATGTTTCAGGAGCGTCTCCCTAACACAAATATGTCGGGGACATATCGTCCGCATTAAATTCATTAAATTATTAAAACGTCAATTTTTATTTTCTAATTTTTATTTTTACGCATAATTAAATATTAAATTTTTTATTATTTTAATTTATGAACATATTTTTTGTAAAAACATTAATTTAACAATAATATATAATAATTAAAGTTTTGACAATAGCTTTCCACATCACCACTGAGGTACTATTGCGGATGCGTTTTTGATTAGTGGTTTCCCCAGTAGGTCTAGTCCACTAGTTTGAAGAAGAAGAAAGAAAATATATATGGCTCAGCGGGAAACCAAACACTTATAAAGTGTTAAATAAAAATAAATGAGAAAAAAAGAAATAGATCGACTGATTTGCATAGAAATATTAATATGATTTTCTGGGTGGGATTTGCATGAATCTACTAAGGATGATATATCTACAGATATTTTCGAAGAACTAGTTCGCATCAACGAGGATAATGATGCATCGCATAAGGAAGAACGTTTATCATTTTTTATCAATTTCATTGTGGAAAAAGAACATTCGCATAGATATGTGGAGCCAAACATAGAGAAAATTCGAAGACCAAAATTCCTAAGAGATGGATAACGAGATGCATTTAACATTAAAAAAAAATCGACTCCCTTTTCTAATCGTGTTTTTAAAGAAAGATCACATTGCAAATCGCAAAGTTCTGCCTGAAGATCTAAGTTTTGTTCCTCGATTTGCGCAACGAGGGGATTTTCAAAAAGGATTAAATCTTTTCTAAGAATATCAAAATCTTTGAAACGCGAATTAAATTGCTCTATTAGGGAATCTATTAGAATTAAATGCTTTTCAAAATTGCAATTTGTGCTCGGAAGAGCACA